TATCGATGTTGAAAACAGTTGCACTGCTTAGTATTTTTGTGGAAATGTTTTTTTTTTTTTTTTTAAGCATTCTTTGGATACAAATTTTAAAAAAGCATTTTTTTTAAATAGAATTTTTTTTGTAGCATTATAAATGTCTTTACTGTCATTTTTGGTTCATATAATGCATTCTTGCTGAATACAAGTATTTATTTATGTTAAAAAAACATTTGAACGGTGAATGTATATTTTTGCATAATACATGGATGCATAATTTTACATTTTATTATTAAAGTTGTTTATTTTTACTCTTTATATTTAAAATTTGATATTCATTTTAACGTTTTACTATTTAAAATACAATTTTATTTTTTAAACAAATGCTAAGTTTTCTTTACAAAAAAATTCGCAATGAAAGCTGGAAATTAGCTATGTGTTTAAATGCCATGGCTTCATAAATTATTATTATTATTATTAGATACTTTATTGATCCTTTACAGGAAATTACATTTATTTTCATGGCAGCTTCAACACACTACACCACACATAACAAACAAGCCATTTCCAACTCTCCAACTCTGTTTAATAGACAGTTTAGTTGGAAAATAATGGCTTATATGTCAAAATATTACTGATTGGTTTGTCATTTTTATCCTATTTTCATGCTACGCCATTCTTACAATTTTGACAACCTTATCTTTGTTAACCTGATACTTTGTTTTGTTTTCATTACAGTCCTAAAGCATATTGTGCCTTGAAATCAGTATGAATAATTTATTACCTTGTCATTAATGGGTCAAACTGGTGGGAACCATCCTAATTATAAAGTTAATAACTCACCTACTCAGACAACATCCCTTTAAGTCACATCCAGTTCTGAAGAAACTTCATATTTACCAAGTATATATTGATTAATGGTCTGAAAAGGAGAAGTTATTAATAATAATATCCAAACAACAGTTAGTAGCAAAAAATAAAAGCTAAAATAGATATGTGACTTTACTATTGTAGTTTTTGAAGCAATGTAAAAATTCTAAACCTGATGAGACATTAATGTGACTTGTTTCTGATTAATATATTCACATGCTTACACGCTTGCTTTTTTTTAAACTCTGTGTTTCAGTAGCTCATCCTCGCGCTCCCCTTTGCTCTTATTTGACGCGGGTTATAAAGCACTCTTTTTAGGGTAGGAGACATAAATTACAGCGCGCTCTCCTTTTGGAGGGGATTTCCTGAAGCCCAGACCACTAGGCCCGATGGAGAGAGATCTGTGAGAGGCCGTGTTAGACTGTAAAGTTTGTATGTACAATGTGAGCAAGTGGAAAACGTAGGTCTGCGCCCTTCTTAGAAACTCCTGTGAAAACAAACAGTAAACCTCCAATGGCTCGCGGTGTGAGACTTTTGCTCGGAGGTTTGTGCGAATGTGTGTGGCATTCTCTCCTCGCTGTGTGGGTAAAAAAGCGAGGGCAGTGACCCACTCCCCCTTCTTTCCCCCTAAATGGTCGTCCAGACGAACTAGCTCTCTTTTGTTTCCTCTTTCTGTTCCTCCCCCCCTCCTCCTCCTCTTCCAGTCTGCTTTATTGCACTTGATTCCAAGCGCGGTCATTCCTGAGATGGTGAAGATAGCAGCTGCAGCTGAATTGCCCACCATAAAGCATCCGCAAACCCGCCGGAGCGCTGGCAGTGGGGGCTGGGCCACACCGAGCATTCAGTTCTCTGCAAATTTCGACACTTAAAATGTAATGGTCGTAATCTCCTGGAGTTGTGACTTGCTTTGAATTAGATTGGATTTGCAGAAGGCAGAAGGGATGGTTGTGGTGGTGTGGAAGACTTTGAGATTAATGGTCTGAAATCTTCTGATGTATTGGATCAGATGTGGTTGTGGCATTGTAAGGCAAAGAATTACAAATGTAGCTGCTACTATTGGTGCTGGCTAGAGATACGCGAGAGCTGTCAGTCACTATTTACCTGCAGGGGGCGATAGATAGTCAGAAGAGTGATTGCCTGTGAATGTTGCTGTGACTGTTTTCAGAACGGAAAACTAAATTACTACTGATTGAATACTGTACTGTATACATTGTATACTGTACTGTGAAAATATTTAGTGAAGCAGTAGGCAAATAATATATATATAAGTTATAAATGTAATGTTGTTACATGACCCCACTATGTCACTTGACCTCAACATACTGCATGTTTACATTTTTATTTATTTATGCACATTACATGGTTAATTCAACTTGGTTCTTTAGTTTAATTTATTTTGGAAATCAATTTGATTTATTTTATTGTCTATCAATACATTGCATGTTTGTTTCAGTTTGGTAATTTAGTTTAATTTCATTTGTTTAATTTATTTTGGTAATATTTATTTATTTATTAATCTGTCAGTACATTGTATGTTTAATTCAGTTTGGTTATTTAGATTAATTTCAGTTTAATTTATATTCTATTCATTCATCTGTTTTCATTTCATGATAAATTCAGTCTGGTTATTTGGTTTAATTTTAGTTTAATTTATTTTGAATATTTTTTTTATTTTTATAATTCATTTGATCCCATTGTTGTATAAAATGTCTGAATATTTGCCAGTCCAATCAAATGAGTCTAGAGATCACAGCTCATATTAGGCTACTCCCGGTTCATCAGTCACACTTGAGATGGAAGGTCAAGTCAAGTGCATTGCATTGTGAATGACAGAATTCTATGCGTTCTGTTTTATACTGCTTTTTATATAAATGTAGTACAGTTATGGGTATTCTATGCATTGATAAGAACTAGCATACTGTGCACAGCATACATACTACATAATACAGCAATCGTAAGTAGTAAGGTATTCCGAACATAGCCTGTGCAGAAATGCATGCACACACACGCTTAATATAGCATAACACATTTTAAATACTGTTCTGAAGTATGCAGTGTGCATACTGTGCACAGTATGTACATTTTTTTTATAAATTACGAAGACGTCCAATTACATTTGCCTTGACTTGCCTTTATTTCCAGTATGATGAATGAACTGCTAGGTCTTACTTTTTGTATCCCTTGACTAGGGCTGCACGATAAATCGCATGCGATATTTAACGCGCATCTTGTCAGTAAAGCCATTCTGTAATCAGCGGTAAATCTCCATCACGTGCGTGCTTTCACATTGAGCAGCATTAACTACACAGAGCCGTTGTTCACAGACGAGCTGCGCAAAACCACGTTCATATTCGCGCGATTTTTTGCGCAGCTCGTCTGTGAACAACGGCTCTGTGTAGTTAATGCTGCTCAATGTGAAAGCACGCACGTGATGGAGATTTACCGCTGATTACAGAACCAGCTTTCTGACAAGATGCGCGTTAAATATCGCATGCGATTTATCGTGCAGCCCTACCCTTGACTCATTTAATTGTAATGCCAAGAGTTGCAGCATTTTTACACAAAGTTGGATTAAAAATGCGGATAATATTTAATTTCCAAGAAAACTTGATGCTTCCCCATGCATTAAACAAGCATGTATTGCCAGTATGCTAGTGGTGAGTATTCTCACTGTCTTTCAAGGCCACCACTGAAGTTTCTGTAGACATTGCCAATTTCACTTTTGTTGCAACTCGCATGTTGACCTCACACATAGCTGACAAATACCTCCTCTGGTTTCTGCGGCTTCTCCTCGCTTCATCACGGCCCCGTGACTATAATGACTGAAAAACACACGGAGTCGCGGCCGGGGAGCAGGTGAGCAAGACCGGGCGGCTTCATCTGGCAGCCGTTCCCGTGTGATCCCTCAGCAGGAGGAGGAGCGCGTGGTGCCTTGCAGGTATGGCCACCTCCCAGACAGATGAGCCTGGTGACAGGAGGGACGCAGCAACCTGCAATTCCACCATCTGACACGATCCGTCAATGTCCCCCTGTCGCCCCCGCGACTCATGCAAACATAACTCCCCTGTACAAGCACGCAGAGGTTGTTTTCTAAAAGTAGGCCTACAGGAATTGGCAATAATGAGCACGTTCACTCACACCTGTGATGGCACGCACAAATGAAAACAAACAGTTTCCTTCATTTGCACACATCGCTGATGACTCAGAGCTTCTACTGTGAAGAGATTCAGGAAATGGGAGGAATGCAACAGAGTTTTTAGATTCCTCTCCAGGGCGCTTATCTGGCTTCTGCGATTTTGTCTCTTGATAAAACGCATCTGTTTCTTTTATCTATTTCTTGAGGGGCTCTTTGAACAGCAGACAATGACAGGCTGTCTTGTGATCCCGGCGTCCCGACACCGACTGGCCACAAGGTGGCACTCACCCTCAACAAGCAACTACCAAGTTCACAAGACTTTTTTCCCCTCCACACTGCTATGAGCATGCTGATGTATCATGGTGCAATGAAAAGGAGGAAATGAGAGGGGGGACATAAATGTGTTTGGTGCATGCAGGGACTAATGGAGTCTACCTTTGCCAGTACATTAGGAACAAAACAAGAGAGGTGAGAGGGAGAACGCCACCGTCCGAGACAGAGCGGTCGTGCCCTAATGGAGAAGGGAAATAGAAGTCATGTTAGTGAAATGCCAGGCCTCTGGCTGTGTTGTTGATACATTTGTTTCCTGTTAGTCCACTTATTTATGGTCAAGGGTTTCTTCATTGCCACATAGTGATTCATTACGTGCAAGAATGAGGTCAGGAGAAAGGTTGTGGCAATTAGTTACATTTAAGAGGCATTTTATACCCTCAACCTGATGTGTTCACGTTCTGCTTCGGCTTTGAAAATGTGACACTTTTTTTGGAGCCGTTCCCGTGTGATCCCTCAGCAGGAGGAGGAGCGCGTGGTGCCTTGCAGGTATGGCCACCTCCCAGACAGATGAGCCTGGTGACAGGAGGGACGCAGCAACCTGCAATTCCACCATCTGACACGATCCGTCAATGTCCCCTGTCGCAAACATAACTCCCCTGTACGAGCACGCAGAGCTTGTTTTCTAAAAGTAGGCCTACAGGAATTGGCAATAATGAGCACGTTCACTCACACCTGTGATGGCACGCACACATGAAAACAAACAGTTTCCTTCATTTGCACACGTCGCTGATGACTCACAGAGCTTCTACTGAGAAGAGAGTTTTTGGATTCCTCTCCAGGGCGCTTATCTGGTTTGTGCGATTTTGTCTCTTGATAAAACGTGTCTGTTTGTTTTATCTGTTTCTTGAGGGGCTGTTTGAACTGCAGACAGTGACAGGCTGTCTTGTCGGTCCCGACGCCGACCGGCCACAAGGTGGCACTCACCCTCAACAAGCAACTACCAAGTTCACAAGACTTTTTTCCCCTCCACACTGCTATGAGCATGCTGATGTATCATGGTGCAATGAAAAGGAGGAAATGAGAGGGGGGACATAAATGTGTTGCATGCATGCAGGGACTAATGGAGTCTACCTTTGCCAGTACATTAGGAACAAAACAAGAGAGGTGAGAGGGAGAACGCCACCGTCCGAGACAGAGCGGTCGTGCCCTAATGGAGAAGGGAAATAGAAGTCATGTTAGTGAAATGCCAGGCCTCTGGCTGTGTTGTTGATACATTTGTTTCCTGTTAGTCCACTTATTTATGGTCAAGGGTTTCTTCATTGCCACATAGTGATTCATTACGTGCAAGAATGAGGTCAGGAGAAAGGTTGTGGCAATTAGTTACATTTAAGAGGCATTTTATACCCTCAACCTGATGTGTTCACGTTCTGCTTCGGCTTTGAAAATGTGACACTTTTTTTGGGGGCTCAAAAATAAGGATGGCCCGCAGGTCCAGGGCCGGTCCGAGAGGATTTTCAGGACAGAGCTGTGTTCTCGCTATGTTCTTTGATTTTGCAAATGTTATTACGTGTTGTTTTCTATGCTAAATGTTTCTAATATTTTGTTGTCTCACAACCTCATCTCGCTGAATGCACATTAGTCTGATATTAGTCTGCTTTCAGTTTGTTCATCACACTGGAGATGAACGTTCATTGCTATGTGGGATGCAATATTCCATGCAATAAGCTTTCTTATTTATTTATTTAAACTTTAATTAATTTTGATAGTTTTTTATCTTTTATTTTTTTTGTTTATTGCATTTGAAATGATTTGGGCAAAAATGTCTGAATATTTGAGTCTGCTCAAATGATGAATCAAGAAAAAGATAAAAATCACAGCTCATATTAGGCTACTTCTTGCATTGGAGATGGATGTGCATTGCATTGTGGGATACAGTATTCCACACATTAAACGCTGTTTATTTTGAGAAACAGTAGGTTTTATGAGTATTCTGTGCATACTGACAGTGTGTATCTATGTACTGTATGCATAATATATTGCAGCAATGAAAAGAGCGTTGTGGTAGTGTACTGTTTCACCATGCTGAAAGTTTACATTCAATATAGCTTACTATCAGACTATATCTACTCTTCCAGCAGTATACAGTGTGTATAGTGTGCACAGTATGTGAATGTCCTGTATGCAGGGAATACTAGATGACCTACTACATTTGCCTTGACTTGACCTTCTATTTCCAGTATGATTAATGAACTGCAATTAACATCAATTTTTAACATCTTTTTCTCGACTCGTCAGTTCGTAATGCCAATAGTTATTTTAATTAAAATGTGAATTACATTTCATTTCCAAGATAACCGGATGCTCCTCACTGCATTAAAACATGAAACAACATAATAAAGTATTGTTTTGAATTCTGCTTATTTAAATGTTGACAATATAACATTATTTACATAATTGCAAGATTGACTGATTGAAGATGTCTTGGAAACATCTTTAAGACGGGGTTGAAAATGACTAACAAATCAGCAATGTTTTGCACCATATGCCATCGATTTCCAACAAATTGTTTATGAATGTAGCTGTCATGCTGCATCAGAGCAGTATAATTTCCAGCTGTTATTTTAAATGAAAATACGAATATATATATAAAAATAAAAATGTAGATAAATAATAAAATTATTTCGAGTTTATATATTATAAAATATTATAAATATTTTTCTAGGACATACGAAATGTACTGCTAAAATACTAAAATACAAATTAATAAGAAACTATGTGTGTGTGTATACACACACACACACACATATATATAATACATATTTTGTCAGTGCAAATATTACGGTTGACCACTGCTTTCAATATTTAAAGACTGGCCTTTTAGCTTTACAAAAGGTGTATTTTTCTCACTTCTACCTGCATTACTGATTGATCATTTCTATATAAGTTTAAATGATGATGCACCTTTCATGTGTTTTGCAAGTGCCAGCAATTCAGCCATGTGCTTTTTTCCCCTGTTCTAGTTTTTATAGGCCAAAAGAATGTGAACTGATTTATGATTCCCTTATGTGCTGAATGCACATATTCTGCACATGTGGACACGAACGTGCACCTTTTCTTCTGTGTACCAGTGCACAGATAGGACCGGACTAGTCATGTAATGACGCATCCATTTGCATACAACATGCAAATCACCCACTGGGCCCAAAGAGATTTGCGACCTTTCGTATTCCCCTGCGCCTGGTAAAAACACACACTCACGAGTGTGCGAGACACGCAGAAACACGCACATGTGAGCGTTGGTGCACAGCCGGGAGCGCGGTTTGTTGTTTCCGTGTCTCTGCTGTGGCTTGTGAGGCTGATCGATGCTACTTTACTGCTTCCCTCGGATTCAGTCGAGTTCAACGGGAGGGGAAGGTGATTCATCAGTGGGGAAAGAGAAGGTGGAAGAGATAGAGTGAGGGAATTAGAAATGGAGATAGAGAGCGTGTTGGAGAGAGAAAGAGAGAGAGCCACAAACACATTAAGAATGAGGGGGAGGCGAGAGCTGCGATACACAGATGCAGCGCAGGGGTGCCGGAGATACAGGGGGAAGTGAAGCATTATATCACAGCGATGAAGAGCTGCTGAGAACTGAGGTAGTGGCAGGGCAACCCAAGTATGACCCAAACTATTTGCACATGCCATGCATATTGAAACATGCAGTGTGCTTCCCATTACGGAGCATCTCTCTGCCTTGCTGCATGAATCATGGGTAGCCTAAGAGTGCAGGAGAGTGGAGAGAACACCGCACTGTGAAGATCTCCCATGGGACACCTGTTTTAACTTGGTGCAATCCATCATATAGCCACTACCCGCTGCAGGCCAGACGAGACAGCTGTCCCTCAGGTCCTCTCCTTGTCTGCGCGTCTGCCCTGCTGCAACAGGTGTTTACGCAAACACGACGTGTGAGCGAAACCACCCACCAGACTAGATGAATTCAGAGTTGAAGAATTGGCTGTGAATTTGAATTGAATTGGCCGCACCCCACAAGAAGTTGAATTTGCTTTGTAAAGTGTTACCAAAAAATCAATTGCCTTAAAATTAAAATAAAATAATGCCTAAATAATGCAAACAAGTAATTGGATAACATGTACCATGGATAAATAAAACGGAATAGCCGGACAATAAGGAAATTATTTTATTCAAATATGTAGTAACTCGAGAGTCGCGAGCTGTTTGAGAGGCGGCTGTGCGCGCTTTGGAGAGCGCATTGAAGACCTCTCAAAGAGTGCGCGAGTATATGGGTTAAAATAGCTTGAATGTTTAAATTGGCATGACTTAAAATTACGTGCAGGTGATAGTTCCGTCAACTGTCCGAAACGCGCGCTTGTCTTGTATTGCAGCGTGCAGCTCGCTTGCAGAGCAAACTCAACGTGGATATTATGGGTGTGAGGCCATTTGTGTATTTTGAGAGAGCGGGAGAAGACGCGGTACCAATCCCAATCACTCACACTGTTTGTGAAATTCCGTCTCACAGAAAGTTTTAAAATGACTGATCTGCTCTATCTTTATATTTCTTTGTCTGTCTGTGTCTGTGTCTATCTATCTTTCTATCTATCTCTCTGTCTGACCGTCCGTCCGTCCGTCCGTCCGTCCGTCCATCCGTCTGTCTCTGTCTGTCTGTCTATCTATCTATCTATCTATCTGTCCGTCCGTCCGTCCGTCCTTGTTTTGTGTTCTGTCTGTCTGTTTGTGTTTATCTATCTTTCTATTTCTCTGTCTGTCTGTCTGTTTATCTATCTTTCTATTCCGTCCGTCCGTCCGACCGACCAACCTTTTATTTTCTAGTTCAAATTACGGTTATGTGGTTTTCTTCAAATTACTTTTTATTTTATTTCTACTTCCTTGCATTTAAATTTGAATTGCAGGTGTGCATCCTTTTTGTTACCTCACTTCAAATGCAATTCAAATTTGTGAATTTAATTTTCAATACATTTCCGAATGGTGCACAACCCTGCTAAATGGTTCATGTCTCAATATGTGGGAACATAACAAGAACAAAAGGGTTATTTGCATGCATATTGGTTGTGATTGTTGGCCAAGAGTTCTTTGCTTTGAATGTGTTCATTGTCTATTGTATTTCTGAGTTTAGAATAGTTTATTTAAGTCAGACCGCTGATGATGTCACCGCATGGCACTGAGGTTGCCATAACAACAGTCATATATCAGGTCTGCATTTCTGTTTAGCCCTAGTTTATTGGCTCAGTAAGGAATAACACATCGAAATGGGGTCTAGACATGTTAGACGCATAGTGCTAATAATCTGCGGTTTAGCTGAAATCCTTCTGATTATCTTTCTCTTTTACTTCCTCTCTTGCTTTCTCTCTTGCATGCCCCCTGCCTTCCCTTCCTTCCCAACGCTCTCTCTTTTGATGGATGGATCGCTCTTGTACTTCCAATCTGCTATCTTGCCTGATGCGGTTAGGGTCTCTGACGCAGCTGCAGGCAGAGGGAGAGCGAGGGAGGGAGGGGGAGCCGAGCAGGACGAGGACGGGGTGATGTGGAGGACACGACATCTGGAAAACAAGCAAATGAAAAAGAATGCTTGGGCACCACGCTACCGCAGACAGACAGCACGTGCCGCACAAACAAACATTCTCAGCATGGCTAGCATCAGCTACTGCGTTACACGCACCAGGCTACATCAGTGCAAGCCTTTTGTGTTTTAAAAAAATTGATTTTGCTTTGATGAGTATAAAACAGAATGCATTGAATTTGAGTATAGATCACTCTCAGTCTGTCAGTGTTCAAGGTGAAGTGCAAGTTAATGACCAGCAGAGGGAGCTGTTTGCCTCAGTCAGGTTTTCAAAGGGCTGTCCTGTACCTGAATGCTAATGAGCACTGTGATGATAATTTAATAATCTGCAGATACATGTTTATAATTCAAATTAATAGATGCAATAAATGATATGCAGACAAGGGTTTCATTAATGCACTCAGTGTGGTGATCTGTGAACGTGTTGTTGCATTTTTATAAAATTATCATAGTTGTATTTACCCGAGACATTGCGCATTTATATGCTTCATGTAGTTTCTTGACATGTCAGAAAACCACTGATGAAAATTAGAGTTGCAAAGGGGTGGAAAATTTCCGGTAAATTTACAGAAACTTTCCAAAAAAAATCCCTGGAATATTCCAAAATTTACTGGAAATTTTCCACCTTTTTGCAACCCTAATGAAAATATTATAACGGACCTTAGTTCAACATCATATTTAATTCGACATAAAAATGAGGCTGTAGGCTGTTTAATGGGTTGTACGGTACAATATGTTTTTTTCCAGTGGACAAAAAACTATAAAACATAAATTAGACGTGACCTAGGACATTAAGAGCATTTTCACTTTTGTTTGGAACAAAACAGTAAAGAATAGCAGGGTAAACTGAGGTAAAGCAGTGTTTCCTTTTGTCCAAACAGCAAAAGGAAAAATAATCTACTATTAAGCTTACACAACTTTCCAAAACAGGAAATCTAAGAGAGAGGTGCCAGATTTATTGTGAGAAGCTGTATTTGAAATTTGACTTCTCACACAATATAAAAAAGGCAAATGAATAGCCCTTTTTAATGATAAATCCAATTTCATTAAGTGATCTAGCAAATTCATTAACATATTAAATATATTAAAGTAAATATTAGCAGTGACAGTCTCCATTTCTTCTTAGTTTAAGATATAACCCTTATAAAAATCATATCCTTTCATCTTTAGTTTTTACAGAATTTAGAGAAAAATCATTAATCTTGAGGATGTCGCTAATACCAGTTCGGGGAAGGCGCATTAATGATGTAAACTACATTGCAGCAGTGTTAACTAGTTTTACTGATTTTAATTTTTTTTAAAATTATTTTTAATTACCAATGCCAGGACAATATAAAAACAATATAAAAAAAAATTACCATATATTTAATACATAGGTTAAAAATTACATAATTTATTTACCTTGTTAAATTGAAGAGAAAATGCTTTAACAAAGTGTTAATTTAACAGACTGTATTTTTGTACAGTCAAATTAAATATGTTGTGTAGCCTGACTATGGTCCGTTAAAAACATTTCAGAATTAAAATGTAAATCAATAATTAGCGATGAATCATAAACAACAAAAACAATAATGTTTAAGAACAGTGATCTTATTTTAATTACTGCATCTCTTTAAAGGCATAATTGATCTATTCTGGTTTTGTCATTTTAATAGTTCTGTTCTGTTTATTCAGTCTTATATCACATATTTTATTTCACCCTACACCTTCACATTTTATTATTACCTTTTGTTGCAATACAATCGGTCAGAAGAGCAAAAGTGATTAACACAATAAACTCGGTTTAAAACTATTAATTCTGAGATATGTTTGAGCATTTATTAGTAACTTAATCTGTCAGTGCCAATGCTCTCAGACGTTTCTTTGATTTTCCAGGTGAGAAGAACATGTAATGCTATATGTAGGACACTGACCTAAACTGCTTGACCTCTGGCAAGGGTGGTCAAAGGTCAACTCACTTGACATCTCTGCCCACATCTTACTGATGAACACACCCGGACCGCGTCTGATGAGCGCTTCAACGCACATCTGTGCATGTGAGACAAACAATATCAAGTGCAGGCGTAAAATGACACATGGAAGTAATCTGTTCATCTCTGCTCAGGGCAAGAGGCATTTTTAATTTCACTGGAGGATAAAAAGGCAGAGCTCCATCCATTTTGTATGGTACCTTAATTTCACACAGCCCACAGAAAAATTGGCAGTCGATTTGTTTTTTGAAGATCCCTCCATTGATAGTAATTAAATTTGCTCTTGTCTCTCGTTTTTTTTTTCTCTTTTCTCCATATCTCCTCCTCTCTTCCCCATCTGTATGCCTCTACTCCCTCTTCTCATTCTCATTCGCCATCATCCCTCACTGTCATACGGCCGCTCCGAGCCATCGACCTCTGCTCTCAGCCCTGGTTCAGCAGCGGGTCACCGGAGGGAGGGGGCTCGTGTTATTGGGGGGTGCCAGCTTCCTTACCTCTCCGTGGATACAGCTGCTGCTGCCATGGCAACTGGATTGTAGACTGCGTAAGGACCCGCGTGCAGATACTTGCAGAGACTTACAGAGAAAGACGCTCTAATGGTGTGTTACAGGGCCTCGTTGTGCTTTAAAGCAGGTTTAACCGCATAAGTGAAAATGATGAGGGAAAACCTCAAACTTGGACTTTTACGTTTTATTAGCTGCTCAATACAGTCTGTTCCTACATGGTTTAGAGTTGGGAGTTTTCCTTTACAGTCAAGGGATAGGAACAGAGTTTGGCTGGTAATTGTTTGATAGGAAACCTTAGGTGTTGATGACCAACATGTCTTGTCATGTGGTTCTTGGTTTGAATTTAGGGATGCAGTTATATTTAAATTCTGGCCTATACCAGCTGATAATGATTTTTATGTTGTAGTAATAACTGATAAATTGCCAATATTAAAATACTAAAATTACTAACTAAAATACTGAAGCAAAAAAAAAAAAGTACAATTATTAGAATAATTGTTTAAATATGATAAATTTAGTATTGTTTTAATGTCATTTTATTATGTTATTTTAATATATTTATAAACTTTTATTAATTTTATTTTAATGGATTGATTATATTTTTAAAATAGAAAATATTCAACATTAAAAATCTTAAATATCAAATTTAAAAAATATAAAATATTATATAAAAATATAAAATATTGAATAATAAAATGTACAATTATTAAATAAATAATTGTAGCATTATTATAAATGTTGTTATTTTGATGCTATTTAAATATAGTATTTTAATGTTTATATATTTTGTATTATTTTCATTAAAATATACAAATAAAGAAAATGTGAAATTACAAATCTTCATTATTGAAGATCTTAAAAATAAAAATACTAAATGTTAAAATATAAAATATTAAAAATAAAACACTAATAATACTAGTAATAAAACACTTAATAAGTGGATATTCATTTTAAGATTTGCTAAAGATTGTATTTAACTGTCAGTATTTGTGTTTTTAAAGTGTGTTTTAGAGCTAAGATGAATGTAAAAAATAGTGGTAATAATAATAATGATAATATAATAATAATGCAAGTTACTTATAAAGTGCTTTTCTCAAACCCCAGTGAGCTTGCACAATTAAATATCTAATATTGGCCAATAATGCATATCCAATATAGGCGGATACAAAAAAACAACTAAAACAAATCTGATTCAATTTCAATATGTTGTGCATCCTTATTTAAATTATCACATGGCTAACATTGTCATTATATAGCTACGACTCAGTTCCTCAGATGTTGTTTTTCTTTTGTCGCCCTTGTCTTGCACATTGTGGCTAGTGATCTCTGTAAGGCTACTTTGGAATGCCATGAGATGTGAGAAGTGCTACAGAAATAGAATTGAATTGACTCAAGCATCATGCTTGTCTCATGTTGCCAAAGTTTATAATCCAGTTCAGCGCAGCAGGTGTAACAGACAGCTAGTGAATGCAGTTGCGGCTCGTTACGCCTGCGGTCAGCTCTTCTTGAAAATGTACAGTACACACGAAAGGAATGTTTAATAAATCAAAAACTGATTAATGACATGATGTTGGCATCTTAGTGCAGATGATAAAGAGTCACCTGTGAATTGTGAGGTCAAATGAAGGAGAGAAAGTGAGCAGGAAGGAGGATGAGAATGGAAGAAATAGCCATAAGCGGAGTTCCAGATCTCTCCAGGTGTTTCAGCACTGAATGGACTTGCTTCACTTAGAGCCTCGGGCCACGAGGTTCAGACCAGGTGGAGCTACCACAAAAGAGACTATTAATTATGACTTCACCCCTCCTTCTTTTCCTCTCTTTCTTTCTCTCTTGCCAAACAAATATGATGGATGGGGTTATCATTGTCTCACAGAAGCATGAACGGCTGTCAGGTGTGCTTTGATGTCCGACAGCTTGAATCTCCTGCCTTGTGCTTTGATGATGTGCTTGAAATCCAGATGAATTGACATACTGTAGTTCACACTCCATACAACATGGCGGGCCATTAAACACACTCCACATAAGATTTAATACACTTGTCTTTGCTTTGATAGCGAGTGAGTTCTACTTTACACTTTTAAAAGTGATTCCCTGCAGAGCGATGGCAAAAGCTATAGCCCTTATCACAAAAAAAGAACTTTATCTATTTCAACTTCCCTTCGTAATGCAGCTCAAAAGCGTTTGTTACGTGCACCGCCTGTCTTAACTATTTTTAGAAGTTTCTTGCTCCCTTGGAGGTCCTGGGATTGTGTGTTGTGCTTTGGACAGCAACCTGTGAAAGGATTTATTTTTCATGCTGTATCACTGGCATCCAGTAGGTGGCGCTCATTACATAAAACAGACTGACTGTACTATTGCATGGAGGAGGAGTTTTCTCACTTGCTCTTTGGCTCATGGTGGTTGTCAACTGCAAAGTTTGAATATGTATTTTCAGGGTTGTGCAACATTCAGAATTGGATTGAGAATGCCTTGAATTTGAAATGGCACTGATTTGAGATAGCAAACAGGATGCAGAATTTCATTTCGAATATTAATGTAAGAAAGCAGAATGAATTGAAAATGAATTACTAGAAAAGCAAAGTTGGACAAATATTGAATGTTTCCTTGTTTGAAAATATTAAAAAGCATTAAAAAAGTAAAGAGAGTAAAGATTTATAGGCTAAGAGTGGATGAGCACTTAAATTCCCAGAATTTGTGCTCAAGCTGTGCTGAGTTTATTTGAATTGAAATTCAGGAAAAAAAAAAATTCTGTCACGCCATATCAAATTCTAATTCATGTAATAATGCTATTATGGCCATTTTTCAGAATTCGGAGTAAAAAAGAATTGCAAGATATAAACTCAGAATTCTGTTTTTTTTTCCTCAGAAGAAAAAAAAAGAATTCTGAGTTTATATCTTGCAGTTCTTTTTTTCTCAGAATTCTGAAAAATGGCCATAATTGCGAGATATAAACTCAGAATTTTTTTCCTCAGATTTCTGAGTTTACATCTCGTTTTTTTTTTGTTTTGTTACTGCAGCAGAATAAAAATTAAAAAGGTAACTAACATTTTATCTCACAATTCTGACTTTTTTAAAAATCAGAATTGCAAATTTATATCTCAAAATTGCAAGAACAAAAGTCAGAATTGTGAGATATATGCTCAGAATTCCGAATTTAAATAAATCAAGAATTATGAGAAAAATCTGAATTATGAGAACTTATATTTAAGAACAAAAAGGCTGAATTGCGAGATAAAAAGTTCCAATTACCTTTATTTATTTTTTTATCCTGTGCACATCCCTGTTAATGATGTGATTAATTGAATTAATTTAGATGATTAGAAATGCATGTAAAAGGATTTTTGCATATTATAAAAAGTGCATAAAATATATTTGACCTTAATCTTATTAGATCACAATTGAGAAGTTAACCAATTCCAGCAAAGCTAACATATACGGTTCCACAGCAGCACTGAAACATATTAAATTACTATATAACACCTCTTATACAATATAGATTGTGGTGCTACATTTTTGATGTTGATTTGACAAAGTCGTCCCCGCATCCGGTTAGTTGGAGGCTGTGCTGTTAATGAGAGCCCTCCTGCTCAACTCCCTGTGTCCCTGGAAGTCAGGTCGTGAATGAATCATTTACATTGTTTTAATCAGGCGAGTGTGAGACTGGCATGCATAAATGAGCACTGGAACCTATTTGCACTTCGTTTGCGGGGGAGAGTGGCTGCTGCTTCCATCTGAAGTGGCAGGGAAATGAGGGCCAGTGCTCTGGAACGCTAAATGACCAGCCAACGTTTGGAGTCGCCCTTCAAAGAGGCAGCGACTCAAGGCGCCTCGATTTTGTCTCTGTTCCTGATTAGCTCTCCAACCAAATGGATCGCACAGATGCGGAGGTATCACTGACAGAATCAGGACAGGTTTTTTTTTAAATTTTTTAGCACAGCTGGGTAGACAGTTGGCACGAGGAAGGAGCAACAGGCCAAAAGGTGTGCGTGCAAAAGGCTGGGGAATCATTAGCCAGATACAAATGTTAGTCTGGACAGGGTCACGGATCAAAGGGAGAAATGCCCCGCTGTACAGGCACTCAGGCAGTGAAATGACAGCACTGCTTTTCGCTGCCAGAGATTTCCAGTAAATGGAGTTTTTGCATAACATTACAGCAACTGACTTTTCCCTCCACTTAAACCGAACAGAGGCCTACAGAGCTCTCTTTCGCAGTACTCCAGCTCACTGCATAATTACATACGTATACTCCATCCTTACCTTCAAAGAAACACTGTACACTGTAAAAAAAAATGATATACTGGAAATTATACAATAAAAACTAGGGATGCACCAGTGTATCGGCTAATAAGTACTATCAGACATCCACCAATTGTTTAAGAACAGCCAATGTTAATTATATCCTGTTAATCAAAACATAATGTTAGTAAGAGATAAGAATATCCAATAAGTTAAGAAGTCTTAACAATATCAGTTAATATGAGTTAAGAATGTTCATTTGAGTAATGTGTTTCCTGTTTAGGACTGAGACCTCTGGAAGCCCATTTCCACCACAGGATTAAAAAAAATGTTAAAAAGGTAATTGTGACTTTTTCTTACAATTCTGACTTTTATTCTTGCAAGTCTGAGTTTATTTCTCATAATTCTGACTTTTTTTCTAGCAATTCTAAGAA